ACACCGATTTTGGAAGCATCATTTCTAATCATGTTTTAACTTTCTCAGTTTTTGTCTTTTGATTTTCCTAATTAACCCATTCACTTCCAAAGCCGGCGATTTGCCGGCCGCCGCAGCAAAGGCCAAATTGCGCAAAACCGACGTTTCGTCGGCCTCCATTGCAACACTTTTCTTTTAAATGTGCCGATAAATGGCGACACCGTTACACCATTTGTATTTTGGTTAATACTTTCAACACCAAATGGTACTTCATATTCTATATTTTTATGCTCCTCTAAGAATGAAAATAAAAAAAATGACCGCATCTCCACGTGGTGAATGATGTTGATTGGGGCGAAGCTCTGGTGGTGCTCATGATACTGATTTTGTTCATAGGTAGTGCAGCTCCGGGTCCCCTTGGCATTTTTGACGCTTTGCAGCAGCTTCTCGCGCCCTGGTCTCCAAAGCAGCTTGCTGTCTGCGTAGGCGCTGAGCCGCAGCATGCCGAGCTTTTCGTTCGTTTTCATCCATGTCAGAAAGAGAATGTACTATGGTATGGAACGTGGTTATATACGCATTTGACCGCAGTGCCCTCTCATCTATAAACTTTGAGCCAATGCATGCAAAGTTTAACGCGATTATATATGCATTTGACCGCAGCGCAGTCTCCTGTATAGACGTTGAGCGGCTACATGCAACGTTTCATCCATGACAGAAACCCCAGCTCTTGAGTTACTACCACATCTCAGAGCCCTCTACTCGTCCCGCAGTCGTGGCCGAGTGGTTAAGCCGATGGACTAGAAATCCATTGGGGTCTCCCCGCACAGGTTCGAATCCTGTCGATTCCGCAAACATTTTTTTTTTTTTTAAGAAGACAGATGGGATGGCAATCGATGTGAGCACGGGCGCCGAACGGACAAGACTAGACCCTAAGGAGGAGCTTCGCCCCTAAAAAGAAGTTTGGAGTTGTTTTTTTTGACAATTGGAACTTGGAGTCCTGGAAAAGTTAGAATCTCTCCACCGGTGAAATCAAAGGCAGATTTAGAGGGCAGGGGTCGGTATGACCGGACCCCTTTCTTGAATTCCACACGTGTAAAAAAGTTTGGGGCGAGGAAAAAGGGGGGGGGGAATGAGTCGTCGGATTCGTTCCCTAGCCGCTCACACCGTTGTTGCGCCCCCTTGCAGCTCTCGATTTAACATGATCCCCTGGGTGGTGTGGCGGGGGGGAGTTTCTCAAACATCCAATATGCTGACCCCCCCCCCCCCCCCCCCCCACCCCACCCTTCTGGAAACACCTGTGTCTGCCCCTAGGCGTAATCATAGGTCTTGTGCATGACAGTGACGAAGATGATGACTGACGATTCAGTGTTCATCATGAACATCAGTAGCAGTGACAACGACGGCATGAGGAACGCAAGGTGACCGAAACTGCAACCGATTCCTTGTTGCCGCCTTCACCGCCAGTTTCAAAGGCTCCATGGCAGTTTGTTTCTTTCCCAGTACATGTGAAATGATGCAAGAAGATCTGAGCGGTGGATATAGCTTTCTACAACAACAACATACACTGAAAAAAAAAAAAAAAAAAAAAAAAACAATTGGCAGGACGACAAGTTAATTACAAGGACTAGAAATTCAAACTTGTCGAGTGGATCAACCAATGGGCGGTCCTTCCTGGACATGGACTAGTCATAATTACGACCGTGGGTGCACTGTGCATGGTTCGAGAGGATCGTGAATGATATCCTTTCCTTCTGAAAAGTCCTGACAATAGCATGAAGCAGAATTCGTCGAGGTAATGCCACATCAGCAAAGTTCAAGGTATAAGGAGCAAGCACCATTGGAGTGTGAGGAATCTTCAAGCGATATTCTCATGCTTCTGTAGTTTTAAGTAGTCTTTTATCTGCAAAGCGCTTTAGATACATTGCATTCGTGCAAAAATCCTTCACTCACGTAAACTTCAAAAGTTGAAGTTCTTTTGTTTTTTTTGGGCTTTAAGGGCGGTTTTAGTGCGATAGAGATGGGGTGCAAATAACTGCGCAGTCGAGGGCGACGACACGGCAAAAGCGAAAGGGTTAATAGTTTTTATTTTTATTATTAACCCGAAAAGGTTAATAATAAAATGCGACACTCTTATAAGCCACTCCGATCCGTGATGCCGAAGGAATAGACAATTAAACGAACGGCCAAAGTTCGAGGATCCACAGAACTGTGAACATTACCGGGGAACAAACTGGTTGTGGCGCAGCAATCACTGCCTCGTAGGCATGCTCAACGCTGACACTGGCATCCTTTCCCCGACAGTTCAAGTTCCCATTTGTGCACTGCTTCCGCACCACCTGCCTGGAGTTTGTGCCCAAGGTGGAGGCGGAGGAAGGGGCGGTCAAGCGCACGGGCACCTGGCAGTGCGACGGCGAGCTGCTGGCAGAATCCTCCCTCCTGGTCAGGTGGGGCTCCCTTTGGCAAAGCACGCAAACCCTCTCTCTCGACAGACAGCGTCCGCACTTCAACCTCCCAACATTGGTGCAAGGTCGTAGAATGTCTTTTTGTTGCTTCCGCAAGCAGGTCGTGAGAACACACCGTACAGGATGGTGTCGCAGTAAATACAGTCGTAACGTGGCCCATCCGTTTTGATTGTTTGCCGCAAAGGACTGGGAGGGTTGGGTGTAAACCCATAAAGCTCTCACTTTGACCCCTCAGTTCTAAATTGGCATACGAGATTTGGCCAATATTAACATTATTAATGGTATCTTCTGAGGTAAAGTTACCTAGAAGCTACCCTGTGTAGCTCCACCTAAAAACAAAAACTGGTACCCCCTTCCGACGACTGCTTTAAGGGGGACACTACCCAAAAAACTTAATATTTGAACCACTTGCCTGATTTAAATGACATTTACAGGGCTTGTTTCTGTTGATGTTGAGAACATTTGTGCCAAATTTTGTTAACCTGGGTGAAGCACAAAACAAATTGCAAATGTTCAAAGATGAAAGTGGGTGTGTCTGCATAGGAAAACTATTGTTTTGAAATTGTTTATAAATTTGTCGTTTTCATGTGTTATATTGCTTTAGGACAGTTCAGAGAAGATAACTATGGAACTATATTTTTATATTATACCATCTTTTATAACAAAAAAAAACAAAAAAACACTACTGTTTTTTGGATTTCCATCCTTTGTCCAAAATTTTAGTTTTTGAGCATGAACATTGACAAAAATAAAAAATACAAGCTCATAGTTATCTTCCTCTTCAAATCTCACCCCAGAAAAACAAGCTACATAACAACAAAACAATTGTTTTCCTAAAGTGAAATTTATGCCAAAAAGTGGAACGGAGAAAGATGCAAAGTGCTCCAACCTCTTTCTTTAGCTTCGGTGGACCGAAAATAATTTATAAAGAATTCAGTGTAAACTAATGAAACTTCCTGGGTATACTCTCTAGATGTTGGTGGATGTAAATATAACATGTTTCAAAAACAACTTTTTTTGCAGAAATAGATTTTTTTTGGGTAGTGCCCCCCCTTAACGGTGTAAAGGTTGCACCGTACAGAGTGCAGCTAGTGCCAAAATCCCCCCTACTGCGGCCCTCGTAGCATTGAGGCAGACTGCGTGCAAGTGCTTTAAAAACTGCCTTCCAAACTCGACAAAGCTACTGTTAGTGGGATGCAATTACTGTTTAAATTGTGCTTCAAACGAAAGCTGTATCAGTGCGGCTTAACACCATCTTCGCGACACATTACGAAGATGCTTCGAAAAAAGTTCCCTCGGGCCACGCGATTCTCTCGGCAGCAGCTTAAACCCTGTTAAATATTTACGAGACGCGCAACGAGGCATTGCAAATGGGGAGGCAGTACAGTCCATTACTGTATCGGCAACGAAGCAGCGTGTCGACAAACTTGGGGAGATCAGATGGCATGGACCGGCGTTGAAGTGGGTGTCTGTTGCGTTCCTCCGTTGCAGGTCTCACTGCCAGCTGCTCAAGCTGTTTGCATACGGCATTGAGGAGCGCGAGGAGCACCGGGTGCCCCCTGCCTGCTTCTGCTCCAGCCAGTAGCCCCTGGAGAGGACGACTGCCAAGCGGGCTCGGCCACGGCCAAGTTGCGGCCGTCCGTCTGGCGTTGCCGCCGGGGCCGTGGAAACTTGGCTCGGGACCGGGACCAGTCGACGCACGGCGTAAACAGTGCAATAGTAAACCCCACCCCGGTCAATTGGCGGTCCGAGCATCGTGGCAGCCACCTGCCTAGCTCGCTAAAAGGAACAAAAACGTCCCACTAGGTGGTTTAGTCCCTTTTGACAGCGACAGGTCGACCAATTGGCCCGCGAGGCACTGACTCTGCTGTGCAGTACATTGTTATCTTCGAAGGCAGCAGAGCTGTTGAGCATCCCACCTGTGGCTGGGCTTATTTCTCCGAGCCATTCCACCGTCTGTCTGTTTGTTGGCACGTGGCCCCGACAAGACTGGAGAACGCTCACTAGAGAGGCTCAAAACTTGCGGTTTTCGCTGCGGCTCATTGTTTTTTTCGTGTCTGTGACCAAGGTGCATTTCTCCGTTGTTACCTCATTGTGTTGTTATTACGAGTAACCGTCAAATGCTGCGAGTGAAAAAAAATAAAAAAGATGGTGTGTAGGAAGGGGGGGGGGGGGGGGACGGGTATGTTAAAAAGAGGAGCGTGGTTACTGGTGACTCCACACAATTCGACTCCAAGTTGTCCCTGTAGTCTGTGATACCCTTGCAAGGAGCAAAGGGAGAATGTGATAATCCTTTTTGGAGCTCGACTTGCGAGAGACTGGGTGTCGAGACATTGGTGGACACGCTCATAAGTCTGAACGCTTTGTATTGGGGTTACGTTCGTTAGTGTTGTTATTTTGCCTTGCATACTATATTGTTACCTCTCATTTTGTATACACGTATATATATATAATAAAAAGTCTGCTGTTACTTCACTTTTTGGGAAAGAGGCTGTGGTGTGTGTGCCACCTCGCTCTAAAAGTGTCGAGGAAGTGGCAGACAGACTGTCGGATGTACATAAAAGGAATAAAATCTATTCCAACCCAACAAGGACGAGTCAAGTACTGCCACAGTTCAGAGCAGCGTCTCTGTCAGATCGGGTGGGTCCTCGAGGTGTTGTGGGGGAAAGCACCCCCCCTTGCAATGGGCGGGTCCACTCAGCGGCCCCTGGCGGCGCCCCGGCCCCTGCGGTTGGCCCCCCTGGCACCTCCCGGGGTGGCGCTCTTGCCCCCCTTGGGCGGCGGGGACTTTGGGCGCAGGGCCTCGATGCGCTCGGTGCAGCCGGTCAGGTAATCGTTGGTGCCCTTGTTGAAGTGGGCGTTGTAGGCGTCGCTGCAGAAGTTGCTGTTGGTCAGCTCGGGCCCGATGGTGAGCCAGCCCGGCCGGATGGACACGTCGCGGCCGAACACGTGCAGACGTCTGCGGCCGAGGCAGAAGTGCTCAACGATGTGCATGATCTCCTCGGGCTTCTCGGTGCCACCAAACTGCGGCTCCTCGGAGATGATGAGGTCGATGTCCACGTTGGCGTGGATAAAGTCCCCGTCGGTGCTGCGGCGCACGGTGCCCTTGATGCCCATCAGGCAGTGCTCCTTGGTGCGCTGGAACACGGCGCGCGGCTCGAGGTTCTTGAGGTGCACGGGGTTCTTGGCGTTGGTCTTGATCCAGCAGATGTCCTCGCAGCGGCGGAAGCCCCACTTGCGCAGGCACTGGCGGCCCAGGTCCAAGCCGTCCGACGAGCCGCACCAGAGGAAGAGGAAGGAGCGCGACGCGGCCACCTCCTCGATCTCCAGCCGCATGATCTCCTCCCAGCTCCAGAACTTGGTGTGGGCCAGGCCGCACGTGCGCTGGTACTCCTCCAGCGGCGGCTCGACCAGGATCACGTCGAACTTGCTCTTGACGGTGCGGAAGTCGAACGTCTCCAGGTCGCACTTGAGGTACATGGGCGGCGCCGCCGTCTCCCGGATCAGCTCGTCCTTGAGCCGGATGAGCTCCTTGAGCTTGGGGTACTCTTCGAAGCGGTCGGCCAAGCCCACGTCGCGGATGAAGTTCTGCGGCCGCTGCCCGGTGTCCACGAAGTGCTGGCAGTAGTCGTTGTGCGGGTTGGCGCTCTGCGTGCCCTTCAGGAAGGTGCTCGAGTCCCGGTATGTGTACACCTCTTCGCCGCTCTGGGCACCATCCGGAGAGCGCAGCGGCGACCGCGCCGCGTCGGGCTCCAGCCGCGGCAGCTTGCACTCCGCCGAAGGGTCGTCGCCGCCCTCGTTGGCGTCTGGGCCCACCTTGGAAGCTTCGTCCTGCGCACACGGCGGTCGCTCATTTCCCAGGATCTGACTCAGGTTGCTGGCGGTTCCGGCGCCGAGTTGCTGGGCGAGCAGCGCCCGCCTCTTCTGCGAGCGCTCCTTGAGCGACTGCCGAACGGAGAGCTCGCCGCTATTCATGCCGAAGCGATGCGCTAGAGTGGTCAAAGAACGCTCCTTCCGTCCTTCGAAACGATAGCGACGGCCTTAGACAAGGACACGAGGAATTTAACGTGGGTTCATGGGGTTCGTGGCACTGGAGTACGAGGTATTACGTTCCATCACAGAAAACAAAGCGCGAAGCAGGCGGGGAGCACGGCAGACACCGGCTCGGGGGAACACAACACAGAGCGCGCTTTTAAGGTTCGTACAAAACGCCAGTGCCAGGACACTCCCATAGACCCAATGGAGTCGATTTCTGGGAAAACTGGGCGCTCAGCAGCGCTTCCGTGGTCGGAGGCGCTCATTACTGCAACGAATCGAAGCCTCATTGCTCTATTAATAGATTGCGAAACTAAAATAAGCAACGATAATTATGTTCATAAATTGAAGCGCTAATGTTTTATTAATTACTTTTGACGCCGTCGAGCTAGCTGGAGCGGCTTCCTAGCCGTTTGCGAAGACGAAGCCGCTCAAAATCCAACATGGCGCAGCCCTTCCGCCGTGCCCTGCCGCTGCTCCCTACCGTGGTACCGCCGGTACCGCGGTAGGTTTTGTTTGGAAATTTACGGTCCGCGCGTGCCATACCACGTGTTATGGCAAAGAATTGTAAGTTATGCTTGCCTACCTTGTGTCCAGCAGTTGACAGTCCGTTACTTGTCGTCCGCGTCTTCCAGGGAATCGAAACAAATGCAGCATTTTTCGCACTCGTTGACGCATTTATTCAGTCATTTTCATGACAAGGAAAAACAATTTACAATGTCACTTTATACAAGCGTTGCTATGCGGAAAAAATTAATAATGAGCGCAGTATCTACGTTAGCAAGCGGTGCCAAGTGAAGATACAATGTGCGACACTGTTAGCGCGAACATGACATAGCTTTTTCACTTTGAAAGGCTATCGGCGCCCACCAACTATTACTGCCTTAGGTCTCGCTAACGTGTCTCGCTAACGTGGTCGATCGTTTCGGTCACGCCGCTATAAATGTCATATTTTCGGGGACTGATATGTGTCCCCATACAATTCGAACTCGTCACGTTAAATAAAGAAACACGAAGTATGTACTATGGACAGCTAGCTTGGGAGCGAAACGGATAAATACATGTTTTTTTTTTTTTTTTTTTTTTTATTTTGGCCTCTGTAACGACAAACGCAAAAAAAAAAAAAAAAATGGCGGGAAATATATTAGTGTGGCAAAAAAGAATGAGGAGGGTAGAAAGTCGGGCGAGTTGGTGATTCATAATGATTAAAAAGCGCGACAGGTCAACGGACGCAGAAGGAGACACAGCACTGTGTCTGTGTCTCCTTCTGTGTTCGTTGTCCTGTCGCGCTTTTTAGTAAAGCTCTTCGGTTACGGAATTTACCCAGAGCTGCACAATTGTTAGATATGACAATGGTGACTCAATGGTTACAATTTTCAGGGGTTTCCAGCCTGAATCACTTGCAGCTCTTTCCCTTTCCCAGTTGCAGATGACAAAAATAAACAACATACCACCTTCATTGTTTATTCTTCAAGATTATGGATGACCAACATTATGGAGAATTGTTTTGGAAACTGGGGATGTCCATATTAAAAAGAGAATATTGTAACAGCAAATAGAAATGTCTGTTTCCGTGACATGAAAACAATCATAATTTGTGATATGTGTTACATAGAAGCAAACCCAGTGCGAAGTAAATATGCAGCCTTGCCGGAGAATTGTATGCAAACAGCCCTATTGGTGAGGCAGGCACGTAGCCAGGGGGGAGGCCCATGGGGCCTGCCCCCCCCCCCCCCCCCCCCGAAATCTTCCACTTTGCTAGGACCTCTCCCCCCTCCCCCCATACAGCATTTTGTCATAAGCGCCGCCCCCCCCCCCCCCCCCCCCCCCATCCCCGAAACAACATCCTAACTACGTGCCTGCGGTGAAGTATGTCTAAGAAGATATTTAAATGGTTATAGGTTGTGGAATCTCAAATACCAACTTGAACGTATATTAAGATAAAACATCAATTCTTCAACCTGTGTAATAAGACAATAATGCAAAATTTTAGTGGGTCAGATATTGTCCACCAAAACTTGAGATCTTAAAGAGTGGAACTCTCCAAATACGTAGTTTGAATTCTAGCTGCCAAAGGTCCTGGAATCACTGGTTCGAAGCAACAGATATTTCGCCCCTCGCCCTCCCACTTTAAAAAGAAAACTGCCTAGAGGTTGTTGGCCACCAGCAGGCTAACAACGTGTCTAAACAAAGTGGATGCTCAGAGGCTTCTGTTAGTCTATGATCTTGCTCCATAAAAATCGTGCAAAGAGCAACCTGCTGACGCAGTGGACAACATTGCCTCTCGAGGGTCTTAAGAAGCACAGCCAAAAGATTTCATGCCTAGTTGAAAGCTCGTGTCATTCTGACTGGTCCATGCAAATAAACAGTTAACACAATGAATTGTAATTCAGGCAAACTTATTCGTTGCTTACTTACAGACTTGAACCAAAATCTTTGGAGACTTAATAATGTGTAGACCTAGCTCTCTGTAGACCACTTTGGTATTTCTCATTTCTCTTGGCCTCTTGATGAGCTTCCGATACCTGTCGCTTGCACCGTCAAGTTGAACCACGAGTTGAACCAGGTTTTCTTGGTGTGGGCCACCGAGATCCTATGATGCCCATGGGATGGGCCAGCCACTTCATTGCTCTTTCTCATTTTTGCTGTATGTGTGTTCTCTATCCTCCCAGGATCTGCACAGGACAATGTAAGAACACATTAGTTTGTCTCGTCACAACACATACACTTGCAGAAGAGAAACAGGGCTATGAAATATTGCAGAGGGCTGCTCCTACTATCCTTTTGTTTTTGTTGTAATTCTCTTTGCCCCAGCCACTCTCGTTTTACAGTACAGTTGATCGTAGATTAGACTGCATAGATCACTACGGCGGAACCTAGCATGCTGATGGTTACATATTCAGGAAGCTTGATAGGTTGGCAAACAATCAAGTGCACTTCACAAAAAAGTTACCACGGACATACCTTTTGTCTATTGGGTTCCCTGTCCCTGAGGCTTGTTGGAGTGATTTTCATGCCTTGAGAATCTGTATGAATACACAAAAAAAAAAAAAAATGCAAATGATGCTATTTTATCTGCAACGAAAAAAAAAAAAAAGCCTAACGCGAGTTTTAATTTTGAGGGGAGTGCGTTGGGAGGTGTAAAAACTTTTAAAAGAATTGCAAATGGAAGGACGGATAGCACATCTCGCGATCAAGCTCTGCTGTCTGCATCCCGCCTTTCTATGCGTAAATCTTTCAAAATTTTAAAAGTGTCTTTAAAATTATTTTACTATCCAGCTTTCTATTTATTTTTGAAAGAAATAAAACGTGAAAAAACGAGTCGCAGGGCTGTAAAAGAATCTACACGAGATACATTATTAAAACGGGCAGATATTAGAGGATGTGAACTCCGAAATATTACAAAACTGGGCGAAGAATATTTATATAGAGACTTCAATTTACTCGACGGGGTATCGACACTGCTGTGAACGAGATCGACGAGAGGTAGAGGAGGTGATATTTCGCCAACAGTCTACAGATCGTAAAATATTTGCAGGACGGTCTTCATCCACAAAACCGTGCTAAGAACGCTCGCCGAAATGGGTAGATCGCAATGAAATCCCGGTGACATTTTGTAAATTTCAAAAATGAAACGATATATTCAATTACCTAAAAGAGTACAAAACCCTCCAATGGTGCAATTTGTGGCTGGAAGATCAGCTTAGGAAAAGTTTCAATTGGGGTGAAAACTTTCAAACTCACCGTCGTCAGTTGGGATCCAAACGAACGGGTGCTTCTTGTCCCCGACGCTGCTTGGGCACGACTTTGCGTAACCGCACAAATGAGGTGGAAAGCTTTCCACTTGCCCGATAGTGCGAGGCTCGCGCAATGCGATGATCGAGGCGCCGAAGCTTGACGCTCCGAAGGCGAGCGAAAGCGCGAAAGCACCGAGCAGACCCACGGACGCCTCCACAACGGTCCACTGGTTTCAGAACGCGCAGAGCGCAAGCGCGCATGCGCATAGGCAGCGGTTTCGTTTTAGAAACGCAAAAAACAGAAAAAAGCAAAATTTTGAGAGTGAGATGTTGACATAAACTTTTCAAAAAATATATTATATTTTTAGGAATACGTAATTTGTGTTTAGTAAAATAATATGCAGTCATAACTAAAGTTGAATGAGGTTTGATTCATTATTGTTTTGTTTAGTTTTTAGTAATGAGCGCCTCCGACCACGCGAGCGCTGTCATACACCTCTATTGTGGCGCCATCCGTGTTCGAGCCGCGCAACTCGCTCTGTGTCCGGAGGTTGAAAACGCGCTAGGCGGCGGTGGCATCGGAATTAGCGTTGCCGTCTTGTTAGGTCAAAAATTCGCCAAAATTAGCCAAAATGCTTTATCAAAATAATTTTAGTACTACTTTGACGTTTTTGACACCAATTTTTGAAAACCTGAAAATATTTGGGAAGTCATCTGAATGTTTTTTTGTCGAAGTATTTTTTTTGATATTTTAACAAAGCTTTGCTACTTTAATGTGGATGAATAAATAATAATAGCTGTACCCTTTATAATGGGTGTTAGCTTGCGCTACCTAGCGAAGAAAGCAAAAGTATGATTGACTTCCTCACCCTTCAAAGGCAATTTGCTCCCCCTCTGCATTTTTCTATCATCAGGCAGTGTGCCATATCGCCAGGGTGACCTTTGGGGATCGGGTAGAAATATTAAAAACATAACAGAAAATATCGTAAGGATGCAGGTGAGCTATCGAATAACAACCATGTTAACCATGGACTTTGGACACTTCTCCTGCGCGATGAATTCAAACACTGGATGGATAAATGTTAAATGGATTTTATTTGTTTATTTTTATTTCCAAATACTGCTGATCTCTGTTCAAAGGAAAAAAAAGTGAAACGATTGATGCGCGGTTGATAAGATTTAATGGTAAGCGGGTTTCTTCACGGGTAGATAGATATTCATCTACGTTAATTTTACACTTCCTTTTAATTAGTTGAAAGAAAAATTGAAGTCTGCATGTGCGGTTTCTTTCTTGGATTGAGACAAACCCAACCGTTTAGGTAAGCTCTGAAATGGAAGGTTTTCTATAGAAATTAAAAATGAATCTGACAGCTTTGTTTTGTAGTTGTGTCGAACCGAAATTTTTATCGGTTCGGTTCGGCCTCGGG